TGCTTCAATATAAATGACATTAGTTTTTCTTTTGGGAAGAATTTAGAGAATTTTAACTGCTGCCTGAGAAAAACTGCTGCAGGCTGTGTGTGTGTGTGTGTGCGTGCGTGTGTGTGTGCGTGCTGCTCCGACTGTTTTGAATACTAATGCGGCGGTGTTAAACGAACACTCCTGATTAGCCAGCGGCTCTGTCTGAGTCAACCTGCTCAGATCCTGTTCTGTCACTTCTTCACTCCTTCTTCTTCGTCTTCTTCTTCTCCTTCTTCAGTTTCTTCTTCAGTTTCTTCTTCAGTTTCTTCTTCAGTTTCTTCTTCAGTTTCTTCTTCTTCTTCTTCTTCTCCTTCTTCAGTTTCTTCAGTTTCTTCTTCTTCTCCTTCTTCTTCTCCTCCTCTTTACTAGCAAGTACGTTTCTGAACTATTAAAAAAATATTAAAAAGTTAATAAAAAATTATTAACGTCGCTATACCTTCCAACACTTAAAATACTTCTTTTTTCATGCGATTGGCAATAGCACCAAAAAAAAAGTATTTGTATTCGTGGATTAAAATGTGTAACAGAGTTATAAATATATGGTTCCACTCGCCCACTTTGCCCACGTCTGTCCTAGCCTACGTTCTTCCACTCGCCCACTTTGCCCACGTCTGTCTTAGCCTACGTTCTTCTAGCCTACGTTCTTCTAGCTACCGTTCTCCTAGCTAACGTTCCTGTCCTAGCTAACGTTCTCCTAGCTAACGTTCCTGTTGTTCCTCCTCCTCCTGCAGATTCGTGCCAGGCCATGGTGTGGTGTTGTACCCTCAGATTGGCGATAAGTTGGACATTGTGTGCCCCCGTGTGGACGGAGGTGTTGGCGATGGAGTGGAGTTTTACAAAGTTTACATGGTGCCCAGAGAACAGCTGGACAGCTGCACCATCACCAAGGCCGACACGCCGCTCCTGAACTGTGTGAAGCCCGACCAGGACGTCAAGTTCACCCTCAAGTTCCAGGAGTTCAGTCCCAATCTCTGGGGCCTGGAGTTCTTCAAAGGGAAGGACTACTACATCATCTGTAAGTACTTCACTCTGTGTACTTCACATACTGTAGTTCAGGGTGACTCCCAGTTCACACGCTGGGCTCAACTGGTGTCACAGCAGTTTGAGCTGGGACTAAGTGATCACCTGATGTCGTGACTGAATCATTGAAAATGTTGGACTGTTGACCTTTTTGTCAAACTCAGATTTTGAGCTAACAGTCGTGTGATTGAGAAAATAATGAAATGTTTTTAGAGATTTTAATATTTGGGTCAGTTCTACCTCTGAACATCTGGTACCAAACAGTTTATTTTGAAAGTTACTAGTCACCAAAGCTAACCAGCGCTAACCCTGCTAGCATGTTCCACCTCCTTACTATTTCCTTTGGTCTTAACCTGCAGATCTGATCTGCCAGGAGGCGCTGCTAGTCTTTCTGGGCCTCATGAATCTCATTTTTGGACCAGCTGTCTGAAACTGCTGGTCCAAAATTGTTTGATTCTATTTTATATAAAACTGTGGTTTTTGATGGTATTTTCAAACCTCATCCCTGATTAACTTAGTGTCATATTGGTTTATGCCATTGTTTTTAAACCCTTTTGGGCGCTCCAGATTACTGCCACCTACTGGTCAAACCTTCATCTGTAGCAGGTTTGGTCTGAGAGGGTTAATCTAGATCACTTATTAACTAACTAACTAACTAACGGCTGCTGTGGCCCACAGATGTAGCCCACAGTGACTTGTTGATCCAACCAACCAACCAACAGTTTTTCCTGTTCTTTCTGCTGCAGCTACATCCAACGGCACCATGGAGGGAATCGACAACCAGGAGGGGGGGGTGTGCAAAACCAAGTCCATGAAAATGATCATGAAAGTGGGACAAAGTGAGTGTCTCTGGATCAGACCCGGGTCCATCAGTGCTGCAACGACAACGACACGTGACTTTAATTCTACTTCCTGTCTCCTTCTCTTTAGACCCCTCTGTTGGGTCGGATGGATCGCCCAAAGACAACCCCACCAGAGGACCCTCCTTCCCCAAGCACCCAGATGACAAGGACATCTACAACCCCAACGATGTCCTGGTGAAACCAGGTGAGAACCTAGGGTCAGATTCTAGTGGTGGGGGGGTCGGGGTCGGGGTCTGTTCATAGAAGCAGATCCTTAGTCTGGATATGTGTTGATGATGTCACTGAGACCAGAACCTGATCAACTCTGTGACTGGTTCAGTCAGAACCAGGTGTTGATCTCAGGCCCAGTCTGTAGAGGGTATTAAACCCTGTTGAAGCTCAGCTTCAGTCCTGCATGATGATTGGATGAAGTGTTTTAGTGACGGTGGAACCTTCTCAGTGTCAGTCCCATGTGGGGACAGTTCCAGAGACAGACTGTTGTCCATTACCGCGGTCATCGGACGTTAGTCGTCAGAGCGATTAGCATCTCTGTCCTCTCAAGGACTTGGAACTTATCTTAAGACTGGAAGAGTTCCAGCCAGAACCCAGGGCCTCAGTGACATTTTCAGGGAAGCGTTCCGATCGCTGTCTGCCATCTTTTTAATCATCTTCTCCAGACGGAGACTCTCACTCTCGTCCCCGTCGTCCCTCGGCGGCCCGGAGTCCCAGCTGGGCTGACAGCAGCTTATCTGCTCTGAGAGCCGCAGTTAAAGATCTCCACAGTTCCTGTTCCCACAGTGAGGCAGCAATCAGGACAAAAAGAAAAAAAAACACAGGAAGGCTCCAGAACAAAAACAGCCTGACCTATATAAACACTCTGTTTCCCATGTCCCGCTTCCCTGTGGGCGTGGCCTCCCAACGCTCACACGTCCAAACTCCACCGTCTCCACCGCGCTCTCGCTGTTTCTGTTTTTAATCCGTCCTTCTCTCTCACTGCCGTCCTCCAGTCCATGGGGTTCTGAGTGTGTCCAAACCAGGGGGCGGGGTCCAGCCCATGTCCCCCCTCAGATCTAGCCCCTGTCCTGGTTGTCTTTTTGACCCTTGTCTTCTTCTGTCCTGCAGATGTAGCACAACGAGAGAGCGACGACAGCGGCGGCGGTGGCGGCGGCGGCGGCGGAGGCGGTGGAAAGTCCTCCAGCATGATTGGCTCTGACTTGGCCATCTTCGTCGGCATCCTCTCAGGCAGCATCATCTTCATCATCATCATCATCATGCTCATCCTGCTGCTGCTCAAGTACCGGCGGCGGCAACGCAAGCACTCGCCGCAGCACGCCGCCACGCTGTCCCTCAGCACGCTGGCCACGCCCAAGAGGAGTGGAGGCGGGGGCAACAACAACGGCTCAGAACCCAGTGACATCATCATCCCGCTAAGGACTGCTGACAGTGTCTTCTGCCCGCACTACGAGAAGGTCAGCGGCGATTACGGCCACCCGGTCTACATCGTACAGGAAATGCCTCCGCAGAGTCCGGCCAACATCTACTACAAGGTCTGAGAACTCTGAGAACCCAGAACCAGACTGGACCAGTGCAGGGCTGAGCAGGATTTGGTTCTGTCCGACGACGCTCGCTCCTAAACACTCCTTTATACGCTGGCTCTCCCTCGGCTCCTCCTCCTCCTCCTCGTCTTTGCTGCTTTTTTTTCTTCTTCTACAAATGTGTTGCCGTCTGGTTTTATGGTGAGCGACGTCCTCGGGACGTAAAGAGGAAGACAACCTTTGACCTTTGACCTTCTCGTAGGATACAGAGGTTCTGGAAAGGAGAGGAGGAGGTGACAGAGGAGCTGGGTTCTCCAAGAACCCGAGTGACTTGGAGAGAGACTGTTGGGACCAGGGTCAGAGGTCACGTGACCTGCCCGCTGACGTGCGCGTCTTCAGCTTCACTCCACCTGGTTCTGCTGGAACGTCAAATGTTACTTGAAGTTTTTTTTTTTTTTTTTTTTTGTTTTACCTTCATCCAGTGTTTGGTTCCGTCTGTTCTTCACGTGTTCCCTCAGTGACCGGCCGCCTGCTCAGGGCAGAGGATTATGGGAGTTTTTCAGTCAGGGTTGTTGTTGTTGGACTTCACTCTTCACCTGGCTGCACAGAGAGACAGTCGTGCTCAGAGATTGTCAGTCATTGCTGGGTGTGGGTTGAAACGTGCAAGTGCGTGGGGTGTCGAGGGATGGAGAGAGAGGCGGCGAGGAGAGGGGAGGGGAGGGGAGGCAGCCGGCGCTCGTCTCCACCTCCTCATTTACGTGTGATGCCAATGGACACGAACCACCGTTTGACCCTCCACTGGAGAACTGTGTTGTTAGGTGAAACAGCCCTGGGGGTAGGTGACCCTGGGTGCAGGTGACCCCGGGGGTGGGTGACCCCGGGGGAGGGGTCGACAGGTGGTCAGTCTCTCGTACTGTCACTAACGAAGCACATGGACGTTCCACTCCAACCGTTTCTCCGTCACCTCCTCCTGAGTTCTCCTTCCTGATTGGCCAAGTAGAAAATTCTGACTTTGGTAGTATCAGACACACTGAGCACAGACGCTGCCCCCTGGTGTAGAAAGGAGAGCGAGCGATGATGAAATAAAAACAAACGTTATGCAATTGTGTGGATCCAGCGTGGACCACCGCTGACCCCAACTCTAAATGTCCATCTGTAGACCCTTAAAGACAAACGAGTCCAACACATAAACGCCACCTCAGTCCCAGCGTCACATGAGCCATGGGCCACGCCCCTTATGTTGCTGACGCTTGTTTTCAGTGTACTGGAGGGGGCGGGTGCTTAAACCCACCTTAGCTTCACAGCCCAGGCAGGTGTCTCTGCTGAGCCCCGCCCCATAGTTTGTGCAGCTTAAAAGCACACTTCAAAAAAATGCTGAGAAGCAGAAGAAAAAAAAAAAGGTTCGGCCCAGTGTGACGACGACGGCCAGAGTTTAAAACAACGGCTGCAAAGAATGGGTTAAAAGGTCAAAGTGCAAACTGTCACCTTGTCCTTGACGGTCAGCAGCAAAGTTTGAATGAGGACGGAGCGCTGTGAGTGGCAGGGAGTGGTACTGCAGGGAGAAGGTTTATTTGCTCCCAGAACCACTCCCTGTGTGTGTGTGACTGTGTGTGTGCGCGCATGCATAGGGAGGAGGGACTGTTACTCTCACACTCATTCCACGTAGCATCACCCAAAGGATATTTCCCATGATCACCCTGTGGCCCTCACACACACACACACACACACACACACCTTTCATGTCCATGTGTGTGTGTGTTCCCCTCCATTCTGTGACATCACTGGTGTCTCAGGTCATCACACCTCATGTTCCTGGAGAACATCAGCGCCCCCTGGGACGCCGCGCCGTGTGGGTCGGAGGTCAGTTCCTCTGAACGGCCACACGATCTGCAAATATGCAATTTATTTTTTTACTCAGCGAAGATGAAAATAATAAAAATAAAAAACAGAAAGTGTTCTTAACCAGTGGAGGTGGAACCACAGACACAGACACAGACACAGACACAGACACGAGCACAGACCGTCTCTACATCTGTAGTCAAATTACCGCCTGTTTTTTTTTTTTAAGCGTGTGCCGTAGAAGAAGGTAAACTGTGAAAAAAACACACACGTACTACAGTACATACATATATACACACACAAGTATATATGATGTATGAATACACAGGTCACAGGTCACAGGTCACAGGTCACAGGGCTGTAACTTCAATCTGAAAACCAACCCTTCGCTGCCCGGGCTACGAACTGACCAGCGGGTGAGGTAGTTACCATGTGGACCAGCAGAGGGCAGCTCCAAATTAGATCCTCTCCTGTCGCATTAGCAAAAAAAAAGAAGACAGTGACATTATGTTGTTTTGTTACGACCAAGTCGCCCCCCCCATCACCCCCCCGCTCCCCCAAATATTGCTGCTTTTTGACGGCAGTGTTGCTCACTGACCAACGATGCTTTTGTGCCTGCGCTAAAGAAGTAGAACTTCTTGAACAGCTCACCCACCACCCCCGA